AATCCGATGAGAAAACAGGATTTGGGGGTACCCTAGGTTTGGCTCCTTGAGCTGGTGCCCCCCCTTGTCTCAAATCGTTCCGCCGCCTATGTGTTTAGGTGCGTCCAGATCCATACACGGAGCTATTGATTGTCTGAATCGGGTGAATGGGCTATTGATCGGCATTGCTGCGGTGATGGCTGTGCTCTCGGTGCGTTTGGAGTGGTCTGGGTGTACAGTGTAGCGGGATGCCGACTACTCGTACAGGCGCAGGCACGACACCAGCGCCCGCGCGGCACCAACAGGCTGGAAACGAGTTGTGACGCATGGGTGCACATATGTTGACTCGATCCGTTATCACTTTAAGGCTATGTTTCACGGTCCGTGCCCGCTAGACTGGAATTGAACGATCATTATTACCATTTGCTTTGGGTGTTTGCATGGGAAAACCATGTAAAACCTTGCTCGTTATCTTACCAGTGAGGAATACCAATAAGACCTTCATGTGCATTAATAGCAAATAATAAATATTTCTACGTATAGTATTCTACCGGCGTTGCATACAGCTGTAAAAGGCCGTCTTCTCCAATTTGCCTTGTATTCGTCGGTCGCCCTTACGCACCGGCGTGCTGTCACATGTCTACGACCCGACTGCCCCTCCGTGCCGTCCGACGCGCCGGCATGGCCCCGAAACTGGAGCAAACGGCCGCCGGGGACACTGTGCGCCAGATGTACGCCTCCGTCCACACCGGAGAGGACAGGGCGGGCTGCGGCCGGCCGGCCCTGCCCCGCGGCGCTGAGGCGACAGCCTCCCACACTCAATGCTCACACTACACCTTCCCCTGATTCTCAAGAATCAACTACTAAAAACTTTAGCACAACATACACCACACATCCAGACAGCCTTGCAGAACATACACACATATCCACCCAGGTAATCCGAGGACATTAATCAGACAGCCTAATCGAATCGAATTAATCGAACAGTCAGCAAGCATTAAGTCCATATGCCTTCCCCAATCATTCAAGAATCTATTTTACCTGCCGCGCCTGACATGGAAATGCGCTTGGCCAGGCTCACCAAATTTGTCACAGGCCACAGATGCCACCAAATTATCAGAAACGTCGCACGGCGTGCACCACTCGCTCCCGCTTGGCAGGGGTGCGATGAACTACGACCAACCACGTAAAACAAGCACGCACAGTGCACACCCTGCTACATGACATCCAGGAACTACAGCTTGTCTCGCATTCAACCACGTGCCTTATTTCCTGTTCATATAAATGCAAGCAGAAAATCACGTGGTCACCTCACGCCAAACACACACAAAACACACCAGTTCATAAACAATCGAACACTCATCCTATACAAAGTCCCGGCGACTGCCACCACACCACACAGCCCCACCGGCTGCCACCACTCCCACAGCCCCACCGAATGCCACCACCTCCACAGCCCCACCGGCTGTCAATCCCACAGCCCCACCGGCTGCCACCACCTCCACAGCCCCACCGGCTGCCACCACTCCCACAGCCCCACCGAATGCCACCACCTCCACAGCCCCATCGGCTGTTACTCCCACAGCCCCACCGGCTGCCGCTCCTCCACAGCCCCACCGGCTGTCACCTTCACCGCTGCGAGCACCACTCGCCAGCGCACTCACTGCGAGCATCACTCGCCAGCGCACTAACTGCGAGCATCACTCGCCAACACGTTCACTGCGAGCACCACTCGCCATCTGATCACTCTCACTGCGAGCATCACTCGCCAGAGCACTCACTGCGAGCATCACTCGCCAGAGCATTGCACAGAGCGGTCCAGCCGCTCAGTGTCCGGTTAGTCCAGCGGCACTAGGTTCTTCTGCCGGTCGCAGTCCACCTCGCCGTATCTGCCGATCCTCCCGGCCGGCTGTATCCTCCAACGGGCCAGTCCAGCAGCAGCCACCGGGACGGACGAGGTGACGGGCGGGGTCCACGGCAGACGCCACGGCTCCTGGGCGAGCCCTGCTTCTCACTGCCTCGACAGCTCCGTTGCAAGTCGTTGCAAGCGGTGACGATCACTGCCGCGTCACTGCACCATCGCTCTCTTCAGGCATGCTGCCGAAATAGCTTGTAAAAGGCCGTCTTCTCCAATTTGCCTTGTATTCGTCGGTCGCCCTTACGCACCGGCGTGCTGTCACATGTCTACGACCCGACTGCCCCTCCGTGCCGTCCGACGCGCCGGCATGGCCCCGAAACTGGAGCAAACGGCCGCCGGGGACACTCCTGTGCGCCAGATGTACGCCTCCGTCCACACCGGAGAGGACAGGGCGGGCTGCGGCCGGCCGGCCCTGCCCCGCGGCGCTGAGGCGACAGCCTCCCACACTCAATGCTCACACTACAACAGCCTATATCATGCCTTCTTCCCCAATACAAGGAGTAGGGATTCCGGATTTGAAGCCCGCAAGCTATGCTAGTTCCGTGGGAACACCTGGAACAAATGACCGGAGCCCTGAGAGCTTAGCAGGCACTCCAGCACGAGTCTCCAAGTGAGCCTTGTAGAGACGCGTGTTTGTTGTGTCGAGTGGCCTGTAATCCGGCTCGATTACCTGCAAAAGTCCAGTGTAGCAGGATGTCGCGCCAGGCGCATGGCTCGGTTCATAGGTGCTCGGCCAGACGGGGAGTGGAGGCGGCCTCGGAACCTGCGCTGCCAGCGGGTAAATCGCCGTATACATACATTATCTTAGTCCTCTGCCGAGCGCCGGCGGCCGGTGTGCCGCCCAGTTGTATGTGCTCGTACAATAGCACATGTGTCTATCGGCTGCAGCGCGTCCCACGGCCGTCGGCGGCCGCTGACCGATGTACTGCGGCGCCACTTTGCCGCAGATTAGCCGCGCCGGTTACGTCGCCGTCTGTAATTGATTCGGGCCCGGCCCGCTGTCTGCCGTAATGGCTGTGCAGCCGGTGCATTGTCGGCGGTCGGTGGCCGGCCCGGCCGGGCTCACTCCCACCGCGCCTCCTCAATTCTTTATAGGTGCTGATTAGAGAGCGTCACGGCGACAGACGCGGCGCGGCCGAGGCGTCGGCGGCGCGCCGTGCCGACGAATCGTTCACGCCACTTCCGCCGTCGCGGCGCCGTAGACAGAGCCAATTTCCGCCGGTGTGTTGACGAAGAAAGAGGCGCTGCTCGAGCGTGGCGGCGCGGAATGGCGTGAGCTTGGGAAGGCAGCGACTCCGCCAGAGGAAGCTATTACAGCTGAACCGATTAATTTGCAGCAGGGTTTTCTCCCGATTGAATCAGTGCCTGCAAACTTTGGCAGGCTGTGTCTATCCTGAAAGTGAAAGATACGACTAAGAAAGGCCTGAACAGGGCCTGGGCACACTGCACCACTAGGCGGGTATGGCGCTCCGTTCCCCAGCACCGCTGTCCGCGGCGGCGGCGGCCGGCCGGGCTGTGCCCCCGGCGGGGTCGCGCGGCCGGCCGGCCATTTGCGCGCGCTCTCGGCGGCCGCACTGATTGGCCGGTGGTCGCTCGGCGTAATTTGCAGCGCCGGGCTCGGCTCCAGGTGGGGCGCCTCGGGCGCCGCCGCCGGCCGACCGGCGAGCCGGCACCTATCGCCTAATGAGATCGGCCGGCCGAGCGCGGCGAGGCCGAGGGAGGGCGGGGAGGCTGGGAGGCTGGGAGGAGACCGAGGGAGGGAGAGGGAGGCTAAGAGGAGGCTGGGGGAGGCTAAGAGGAGGCTAGGGGAGGCTAGGGGAGGCTGGGGAAGGCTAGGGGTGTGGCTGGGAGGAGGTGAGATAAGAGGAGAGGAAGAAATGGACAGGACAGGAGAAGAGACTCGCTGAGGGCACTTAGCTGACCTGAATCGGAGGGACAAACCGGAGGGAACTCGATTTCCAATCGAAACGAACACCGCAATCACGGGGGCCGTGCGTGATTCCAAACAAATGACTTGCAGCTGGAATCAGTGACCAACGGGTGAAGGTAGGATAATGGCGAACCATACGCAGCAGCTGAACAAAACTGCCCTCTTTGGCTTCACGTCTAACATCTTATTCTCGTCTTTGATTTCACGTCCAACATCTGATTCTGGTCTTCGGCTTAACGTCCAACATCTTATTCTGGGACAGTGGAGCGGTTGCAGTGCTGCAGCTCTGCCTTTTTTAATTCATCGGTAGTTATCCAATCCTCCATGGCGCCCATAATTAAGTGGCAAATTGCATGTACAGGCGTTCATTATCAGCGATTCTAGTGATGCATTAAGAAATAAATTAGCCCACAATCCATTAGCTGTCCAGTTGCTCATTAGCCGCGGGATGAGACGGATGGTGACTGTAGCTCGGATGTAGTGCGCTGATTGCAGCACCCACGAATGCTGCTTCTTCGGCTCTGTCGCGGTATGCTGGAAGCCCGTTTCACTTTCCTTACCACGAGAGCACACAAAACACTGTACACTGCACAGCATACACATTCATACATTAGGTACAATGCTATGCAGTCTGTGTGCTTGGTGAGCCGATTCAGCCCGGGCCCGGGCCGTCGATGACATTTCATGTCGGTGTCTCCCAAACGAGCACGCGCCAGCCGTGACACAGGCCGTCCGTCACGGCTGATGATTTACTCCAGACGAGTCGACCTTTCCAGCGCTAATGAGCGGGTGTACGGCACCAGCACTACGCCACACGCCAGCCGAACATCGCATGTCGGCAATCAGGCTGCCGTCGCAAATGTCAAGTGTATCACGTATTCGAGAGCATAATGGAACACGAGCTCCTCTCGTTTTTTTTGTACTTATGTTCACAGTGTGAAGAAGCTACTTTCCTTCGACATCCAGCATTAAATGGAACGCAACAATGTGTCACACTGTTGTAGCTATGCCCCTGTTCGTGCTCCTATCAAAGGCCAAGTTATGGAGATCCTTGTCCAGTAGCCGATTTAAGTACAGTGACCCCCGCCCGCGTCCACTCTGCGCCGCCCTGACGTCCGACCCCCGCCCGCGTCCACTGTGCGCCGCCCTGACCTCAGCGTGCTGCGCCGGCAGGTCCCCGGGTGCGGAAGGTCAAGAAGCGGAAGCCGCCCGAGGAGAAGCGACCGCGCACGGCCTTCACGTCCGAGCAGCTGGCGCGACTCAAGGTGGAGTTCCAGGAGAACCGCTACCTCACCGAGAAGCGCCGCCAGGACCTGGCCAACGAGCTCGGCCTCAACGAGTCCCAGATCAAGATCTGGTTCCAGAACAAGCGCGCCAAGATCAAGAAGTCGATGGGCCTGCGGAACCCGCTGGCGCTCTCGCTGATGTCGGAGGGGCTCTACAACCACGCCACTGTTCCCGTTGACGACGAGGACTGAGGCGCCGGCCGGACCCCGCGCCAGCCTTCGGGAGGAAGCCGTACGTAGGCGCGGCTGTGGTCTCACTCTCATAGAGTTCGCCCCCGCTGTGCGAGTCTGTATCTGGCTGAAAGGCATTAGGATGTGAATTCAGTCGTACGGTTTAGCTGGTCTGATTCATGTAAGCAGCGACTCTCACTAGATACGCAATGTTCTGGCTCAGTAATTGTCAGGCTCAGCATCGGTCGGACTAGACGCCGCTACAGTTAGTGCTCAGTCAGAGTTGCTCGCGAAAGTTCGGACGTGCGCGTGCATTCTGATAGGATGAGCTCAATTATAGGAGAGGGCGTGCTGCAGCCAGTTGGCTGGGAGGCGTCTAGGAGTCCACCACCGCTGCTGCGGCGCGGCGGCCGACCGACACTCGACTCCATCGAACAGTCGGGTGGCCGCTGCCGCCACCTGCAGCTCTTGCCAAAGCAGTGTGACTGGAGGTCGGCGCAGTCGGGGGTGCCCTCGGTGGCGCGGCGGGTGGCTCAGTCGCCGCCGACGCCACAGGGATGGGAGAGTCAGCCCGTCAGAGCTCCGGCTCGGCGGCGCAGACGGCGACGTGGGGCCTCCGCGGGCCTCGCAGTAGGGTGGGCTAGATCAGTAGCAGAGGCGTAGTCGCCGGAGCATCACACTAGTCTGTGCATTTTGATTGTTATTGCGGTATTGTTTTAATTATTTATTGACTGCTGAGGTGGGACTGGTTCGGTGCGCAGTCTGCCCTCAGTGGGAGTGGTCTGGCTGTACCGCCGGCCGGCCGCGGTCCGCGCTGAGAGGGACTGGTCTGGACATGTGTGTGCCGCCGGCCGGCAACTATGTAAACGCGGCCGTAGAACCTATTAGGACAGAAAAGGCGCGCGCTATGTGCGACGTCACCATATTATTTCGCGTCGAGCGGGCTGCGGACTGACGTATAGCGCAGGCTGCGATCCTATGAGAGCTGACCGGGTGCGAGTGTACCGTATACATCGACTGCAGCGGAGCGGAGCCGGCTGGAGCCTGCAGTGCCGCCGCTCTCTGAAGCCGACCGCTCCTGACATTGGTGTGAATTGTAATATAAACGCTCTCAATTTGTGTACACATGTTACCAAGATTATAGCTGAGTGTCCTCCGGAGCTTGTGTGTGTGTTTTCGGCGCGGCTCGAATCTCGGCGATCTCTTGGCGGGCTGTTTTTGGACCCTTGTCGCAGGAATCGGCAGCCTAGTCAGGAGCTCCTGGGTGGTCTCGGCGCGGAGACATCTTCATCGGCCGACCATCGCCGCGCATTAGCCGGCCGCGGTGTCTAATTACGACCTGCGCCCGCCGCTCTGCCGCTCTGCCGCTCTGTCTGTCTGTGTGCGTGTCACTAACGAGCCGGGGACGGCCGACGCGGGTGGTCCCGACCCCACGCGGACCCCCTTCCGCCGCCGGCGGGGGGAGCGGCCGCTCTGCAGTGTCGGCCACCGATGGGGGAGGGGGGGGGGGTGGAACCTGTCACAGCTATGACAGTCCGTCACAGTCCGTCAGCGGCGGCGCCGCCCCGACACCGGGCCGCCGGGGAGCGCCCGGGGAGCGCCAGGGGAGCGGTGGAAGGCGGCGGAGCGACGAGCCACTCTCCCCGACCGGCCCGCGGCACCGCCCACTCGATAGCGGAGCGGGGCAGTCGGCACATATCGCTACAGAACAGAGACAGACGGCACGGTATATTCCTGACAGTGATAACAATATTATATAAAACTTCCCTTAGACAAACAGTTTCTTAAAAAAAACGTCAACAAGTAAAGCCGTGTCTATTGTGTGCAGCACGTTAGTAGTTTGAGTCAGTCAATTAGGTTAATTGCTTACAATGCCTATTGCTTGAAAGACACAATCTGAATATACCAATGAAGTTACCTTTGATTCATGCTCTTCTCTACATAAACCAGGAACACTGGACACGCGACGATTCTCCAATGCTAGATAATATGTTCCTATGTTTCGTTTTTAGTGTCGCGCTGCGCTGAGGTGAACAATTATTAAAAACAAAATACTTCGGTTTTATTGAGTTACCCTGTTCACTGGTCATGTTCAGATTGGTGTCAAACTCAAGGTCAAGGTCACTGTCTGGGATGACCTTGATTATTGCATTATCTCATGTAATTATTGTCTTACCTATATTCCGGAATGAGTAACGGAATGTTTTAAAATGTGACAGAACTATTGTATAGCATTTTCAATTCTTTGCTCATGTTACAGTTTAAGACTGTTTTCAGATCAATATCAGATAGGTTATCCCCTTATTGAGTATTTGCCTTGTTGAAAACCAGTGAACAAAACAAAGGCAACTCAATAAAGCCTGAATAATAGTTTCTGATAATTTTTCAACTCAGTGTAGCCCGAAACTACAAATGAAACATAGTCATTTACAGTAGCGGCGGAACACCTTCAATTAAGGGGGGGGAGGGCACTGCCGACTTTTGGTCCCATTCTTTCCATGCAACGCCCATAGGGCTAATGTTAACCCTCGCCGGCCGAGGGGGGGGGGAGGCGGGTGCCGCCCCCCATAGGGGTTTTTTTTCGCGATAGCTCCGAACACGCTGGCGATAGAGAGCTGAAACTTGGCATAGCTGACCTTTGATCCAAGCCGCATCTTTTGACACCAACCGCATTTTGGGGTCAGGTCAGGTCACTGACCTATGACGTCATAAGTGAACCTCTGCACGGTCTTCAGATGTCGCAACTTCGCAACGCCCTCACTGCCAGAGGAGATGTCACAGGGAAATGAAACTTGCAGGATCTAGTATCCATTATGAGTCTCACAACTTGTATATCTCGGATTTTTCCTAAAGGTCATATGAGGTCAGGTCATTTTCGTGACCTCACCATTATAAGTCAATGGGGAAAAATGAAAACTGCTATTCTGGCGCCGGGAACGATCTCCAACTATCTCAAGCACACAGAATCGTGATTTGATGCACTTCTTGCAAGGTGAGATGCGTCACTTTTGCAATGTTAACCTTGCGTGACGTCATTTATGACGTCATCAAGGTCATATTAGTTGTTCGTCAATAACTCCCGATCAAATTGAGCTAGCGAGTCGAGAAAGCCACCAATGGACTCAGGAAGACCTGCCGAATCGAATGATATGCGACATGACCTCTTTCGACCAACTTCGTGACCTGGGGGTGCTGACCTGACCTTGACCTGAGGTCAACACCCTAAGTTGACCTGACCCGAACAAAAAGTATATCATTCGACGCGCCTGAGCTAGGCAAACACGATGCTGCCAAAATCGCGGCTCTGCGGCCGTTTTTTGCGAAGTTATTCACCAAAAACTGAACCGTACCTTGGGGCACTTGACCTGACCTCAGAGGTCACCGGTTGACCTAGGACCTTAAAATCGTGTACCAATCTCTGCGTCTCGTAACGGCGCACACGCTTGTTTTTTCCGCGACGCGCTAGCTCCACCAGGGGCGAAACGGCGAGGGGGGGGGGGTCGTACCCGCCCCCCCTCGGCCGGCGCGCATGTAGAAAACCAATAGGTCCGGCGAGGGTTAAAATGCCAAAATCAAAGCGGGGCACGAACCCCGGTGCCCTCTCCGTTCCGCCGCCCTGAAGAAGATATAAAAAACCGCACTTGGTCAATATGTCCTCAGTTAAGCCATTTTTGTCCACGGACCGCCCTGGCCTTTCCGTGTCTGTCCGTGGCGCTTTCGGCCGTGCTGTCTGAGGCCGGTGCGGCGGCCCGGCTGCAAAGAAGACATTAGCCGCGCCCTTGAGACGTTAATGAACGTCCGCTGAGCCGGCCGGCCGCCATGGACATTCCTGGCCAATAGACGGCCGGCTCCTATAGAGCTCGAGAACATGCAATGAAGACGAAATTATTCACAGCCGGCGGCTCATCCTGCATGCCGAAATAAATCACGAATGAATGATATACAGAGTTTCACGCTTGCCAGAATAATTGCAGCCCTTGCCGTGCACTTAATAAGCTAACAATACGATTGGTGGCTCTGTATCATGCGGCGCACAATGAGCTGCTCTCGGATACGGCAGAAGGGATACGATCAATGGCTATTATCTGCTTCTCCTTGCCTCGTCATTCCGTGTTATTCTCGTTGGTCACAGGCAGCTACGAGGGGTGCCGCGGGGGCGGAGGGGCAGGGCGGGGGGGGGAGTCGGCGGCCAGCTGTCGGTCCTGCGGCCCTCCGCGGACCACCCCGGCCGGCTCCCGGCGGACCCCCGGACCAATTAGGGCCGCCAGTCGGCGCCGAGACCGCTCGGCTGTCATAACTACTAAATAGCGCGCGCCGCGGAACAGCCGAGACGGGAAGCGGCCCCGCACTCGTGTCGGAGAGAGGAGGGTGCTGTCAAATTAGGCAGCACCGGCTCCGGCACGCGCACCGACACTGAAGGCGCCGAACGGAATGTGGGGCCTGTCACCCCTGTCCGGGACATACCTGTCTACCGTCCGGGACATCAGGCAGTCTGTGCGAGACATCCCACGGCTCTGACCGGGACATCCCTGTCTACCGTCCGGGACATCAGGCAGCCTGTCCGGGACATCCCACGGGTCTGTCCGGGACATCCCACGGATCTGTCCGGGACATCCCACGGCCCTGTCTGGGACATCCCATGGCTCTGACCGGGACATCCCACGGCCCTGTCTGGGACATCCCTGTCTACCGTCCGGGACATCTCTGTCACTCCTGTCCGGGACATCCCACGGCCCTGCCCGGGACATCCCTGTCACTCCTGTCCGGGACATCAGGCAGCCTGTCCGGGACATCCCACGGCCCTGTCCGGGACATCCCACGGCTCTGTACGGGACATCCTATGGCCCTGTCTGGGACATCTTCTTGCGACTCTCCGGACATTGTCTCACGACTCTGTCCGGACATTGTCTCACGACTCTGTCCGGCACATTGGGCACATCTAACGGCCCTGTCTAAGACATCCCTCGAGACAACCCTGGGCCCTGGCCCTGTTTTGTTGGATATGACCGGGCTATTGCTTGACCAAACTATGACGGTGGTTGGATTGCTATCTCATCTATGCCTTCTTTTTCATATCAAGGGTTTCCCTTTTCCCTTTGTGTCTTGAGAATAACAGGCATTATTACACATAAGACTATTATTTAAATACCTATCCGGCGTCGATACGTATCAATGAAAAGCAGCTGGTAATCTAACTTCCTATTTATCCAGAACGGATAATCTCCTCATCATTTACTGAGTCACATCCCAGCTGTATTTTTGGCAGTGACTTTCCTAGATTACCAGAGCACTACCCGCCCCCGACCGGCAGCGGAACTAATTCACTGGCCTCGGACAACATGTGAGCAATGTGGCCGGGCCGTGCCGGGTGGCGGCTGATGACACGATAGGACAGACACAGACAGACAGAGACTAATTCGCCGGCCAGTGGCGCCCGCAGTACGGCGGCCCTATTTAATTACGCTAAGAGGATAATCATGTAGTGGCTGTGACAGGGAGCCGTCAGCGGCGGCGGTCCTGTGTTGACGGGTGCTGCCACACACCGCTGTCCGGTCCTGTATTGACAGGTGCTGCCACACACCGCTGTCCGGCGGTCCTGTATTGACAGGTGCTGCCACACACCGCTGTCCGGCGGTCCTGTATTGACAGGTGCTGCCACACACCGCTGTCCGGCCATGTATTGACAGGTGCTGCCACACACCGCTGACCGGCGGTCCTGTATTGACAGGTGCTGCCACACACCGCTGTCCGGCCCTGTATTGACAGGTGCTGCCGCACACCGCTGTCCGGCGGTCCTGTATTGACAGGTGCTGTCACACACCGCTGTCCGGCGGTCCTGTATTGACAGGTGCTGCCGCACACCGCTGACCGGCGGTCCTGTATTGACAGGTGCTGCCACACACCGCTGTCCGGCCCTGTATTGACAGGTGCTGCCACACACCGCTGACCGGCGGTCCTGTATTGACAGGTGCTGCCACACACCGCTGTCCGGCCCTGTATTGACAGGTGCTGCCGCACACCGCTGTCCGGCGGTCCTGTATTGACAGGTGCTGCCGCACACCGCTGACCGGCGGTCCTGTATTGACAGGTGCTGCCACACACCGCTGTCCGGCCCTGTATTGACAGGTGCTGCCACACACTGCTGTCCGGGATCCTGTAT